GAAAAAAAACGCTATCAAAATTTTTTATCTCCTGCAGCGGCGGCTCCCCCAAAATTTTAAAAATTACTACTAATTTGGGGGCTGCGGCGGCTGATATTATTGAAAAATCGGCTGCTGCGGCGGCTCAGCCGTACGGCTGACACCTCTATCTGCATCCTTGTGTGTTGCTGTGTATGATCGACAAGTAAAATGGGGACGACTCTTCTGCCCATCTTGCAATGGACTGACTCTAGCATAGGACCAATTCGTCGTAACAATCATGTGGCGCTTTCTGTGGGCGTCAACCTTTTATGTTTTTAAGATAGTTTCCTTTCGATTCAGCACAGAATATACGTTCATTATTGATTTCTAATAGTAAAACACGTCTCAATGTAGATTTGCGAATCTCCATACTTTAACGTGATATTTATAAAACATAATCAACATGTTCAGATACTACTTTTTAATGTAAATATAATTCAAGAAAACATAAATATTGATTCATGGTCTTAGGATAATCTCTTTCATCCATCTGCTAGAATATACGACGATGAATTTTTTCATGAGTCCAAAACAAAAAGAATTTTACTGATTTTGTTGTTTTATCTTCATTGAAATATTTCACTATTCTCACTTATAGTTTGCTTTATCGTATGATTAATATATTATTACAATCGGCTTAATTCTTATTTCTTTTTATTGATAAAACGATTTCTATCGCACATGAGTTATGTGCACAGCATAGTACAGGAAAGTGCCAACTTTGAAAAATCTAAATTAACTCAAAGAATTGAGTACCGTTTTGTTTTTTCTTACAAGCATATATTCCTTTATTGACAGTAATAATAACAATGACAGTCTAAGACCGTTGTTTTTTATTCGGTATTCGATTTTTGCCAACAAATTTTCTATATTAATATTAACTATGTCTCACTCTCGCACAAGTAAGAGAATAAGCAAATTCAATGATTCATCAAAAAATTTTCATAACGGAAGTGAATTAAAATATTTACTATCATTGAAATATTTTTTTTTCTAGCACTTCAATATTTTTATTTATAATATACATCGAATACAGTATGCAAAAGTTGAAAAAATTGTCTTCCATTTTCACCCTGTGGGGTGATAAACAAACGCTCAAAACTCCTGATACAAGTCAACTAAATACGTCTCAAAATTCGCTTCCCAGTCACATACAGAACTTTAGTCTCGTTTGGCTGGATAGCAACATCGATGGCGTAATTAATGTCGATACTAGCAATACCATCAGCCGATTGTAAGAAGTTGTTAATTCTATAAACACGTTTTCTGATGCTGATCGTTGCATTAGTTTTCTTACTAGTAATGAAGAAGAAAATATTCTTTTAATTATATCTGATGCTCTTGGTGAACTCATTGTACCTACTGTTCATGACATGACTCAAATTCATCCTATGTTTTTTGTCGAAATGCTTCAAAACATAAACAATGGCTCAACGGTGGCCTAAAGTAAGAGGCGTGTTCACGAAAATTTCACCTATATGTGAAGCATTGAAACAAAGTGCACAACAATATTATCACAATACTATTCCAATCGGTTTTGTTTCGGCAGATGAAGAATTATCAAAACAAAATCTTGATCAAATAAACCAATCTTTTATCTACACACAAATATTAAAAGAAATTATATGAACAATTGAATTTCATGAACAATCAATACAAGATTTTCTTGTTTATTGCCGTCAAAAATTCGCTAATAATTCTATTGAATTAGATAATATCAATAAATTAGAACGAGAATATCATCAACATCAGCCAATATGGTGATATGCATATGAATGTTTTCTATATTCGATGCTCAATCGGGCTTTACGCACAATGGAATTTGATATTATTATGAAAATGGACTTTTCCATTCGAGATCTTTATGAAGATATGGACAGATTACACGTTGAACAATCAATTGGTCATCGCAAGTCGGATTCATTTACTGTTTATCGTGGTCAAGGTTTAGTTAAAACAGATTTCAATCAATTAGTGAAAACAAAATGTGGCTTATTATCTTCTAACAGTTTTTTATCTACCAGCAAAAACCACAATGTTTCATTAAATTTTGCTCGTCATTCTATGTTGAATTCTGATTTAATTGGTGTTCTATTCATCATGACAATCGATCCATCTTTATCGTCAACTCGATTCGCTTCTATCAAAAATGTTAGCTGTCACCAGACAGAACGTGAAACTCTCGTTTCAATCCGTAGTATTTTTCGTATTGGTCATATCAAACAAATCGAACACGATAATGATCGTCTCTGGCAAGTAGAATTGAAATCGGCAAACGATGCTGATTCTCAGCGTCACAAGTTTACGGAACGAATACGACAACGAACGATGGAATTAACAGGATGGCATGGCCTTGGTCAATTGCTAATTATGATAAATCAATTTTCTAAGGCCGAAGATTTATACAAAGTATTACTTTAGCAGTCTGATGATGAATATGAGAAAGCGTATTTTAATCATCATCTTGGAGTAATCAAAGAGAAGCAAGGAGAATATGATATGGCGATTCATTTTTATGAAAAGTCACTTGAAATCAATAGACAAATTCTTTCTCCAAATCATCATTACCTAGCTAGTTCATACAATGGAATTGGCATGGCGTACATGAAAAAAGGAGTCTATGTCGAAGCACTTTCGTCTCATGAAAAATCACTGCAAATGTTTGAAAAAACTCTTGGTCCCAATGATTGTCATGTAAGCATTTCCGACGGTAATATTGGCAAGGTTTACAATGAGATGGGTGAACTATTCAAAGCACTTTTGTATCACAAAAAAGCACTTGAGATTTTCAAAAAAAATACTTCCGGATATTGATCCTTATATGGCGGCTTCTTACTGTGATATTGGGAAGGTTTATGAACAGATGAGCGAACTACCCAAAGCATTATATTCACATGAAAAAGTGCTTGAAATTCGAAACAAAAGATGCCCTCCAGGTAGGTCATCATTCATTGATGACTTCATACGATATTATTCGTGAACTACATGTCAAAATGCAAAAATACTCTAAAAGGCAACCACTTGTTGTTAAAAATGCTATTGACCTTGGACAATGTTCATTACCTGTAAATCATCTCGAACCATTTAAAGAAATATGTTAAATGGTTGTCAAATCAAATTTTTATCGAAAAATGCATTTCAATTATTTCTATTAAAATTTCTACGAGTTTAGAAAACATGTCTCTCGTGTTAGTAATCTAAATGAAAAACAAAATCATGTACGACAGAAATTCATAAATAATTCATGCTACTCAAATATAATTGTGTCAGTCGGCATAGATGCTTTTTAGCATAATTTTACAAAAAATATATTGCTTAAATGAATTACAGTAGTCAACTGAGATTTAAAAGAAAATGGGTTTTGTTTATAAACATGAAAGTCTTATCAATGGATATGAAATCTCTCTGTGTAAATATTAAGATATTGAGTAGACGAGAAGGAAAAAAAATAAGAATCTGATATTCAAGATACAACACGTTCACTACAATGAACAGGCGTTATTATCAGTAAAATAGTTTTTTTCCTAAAAGAAGATAACGTTTTAAATAATACTATTATTGATGTCATTCATCTCAAATGTGATATTCAGTTTTTCTTTAACACTTAAATAAATATTTAAATTACAAATTTATTTAATCTAAAAAGTTCATCAGTTGGCATTGTCAATTATTGAAACAACTAATTCATTAGAAGAGATTAATATTTTGGATTTTTTTGAAAGTAAATCATAAACATTCTTTTCTAAAGTTAAAGTAAATCTTGAAATACAATCTCTCTATTTACGTTTATGGTAATCAAAACCTTGCTATCGTCAATATGAGTTTTAATACTTTAGTAGAAACAAGATATTTGATAGAATATTGTTGTTCAATTTGGCTATCATCACTGTATTGCGTTTGAATCAGATAACAACCATTTGAAATATATTTTCAGAAATTTCTTAAAAAAGAATGCTTCAATTCACAACGAAGTCTTCTACTATTGTGTTCTGCACATCTATATTGGTCAAAAATATTTATTTGAAACATAGTGAAAAGGTCTTTGTAGTTCATTGGAAATTACCAAAATTATTCACATATATTATTTACAACACATATTATAAGCAGAAAAGCAAAGAGTCATTGGTTAAATCCTAACCAGCACAGAAAGGAAAAAATAGTTACTCACCAACTAGCTACCTCACATATAATAGAGAAGAACAGAAAAAAAGAAAATATGCCAATATTACTACAATCAATACAATTTCAACTTGAATTTCTTTTAAATTCCAACTATTCAAAATAATCATACAAGTCTTTCTGACATCTCTTTCGTAAGTAAGAAAAATTAGCATAAAAAAAATATAGAACGTCAATTACTTACTGTTCATTTCGATCACTGAAATTCAAAACGAACTAATGAAATTGGTTATTAAACTCATTATGATCTTCCACTAAACTAGTTATAATTTTGAGAATAATGAGAACAAAAAAAAACTATTTTTGGCGCTCTCGTTTCCTGCTTTTTTTATTTTAAGAGATCCTGAGATTATAAGAAACATCAAATCGGAAACTGTAGATTTTATAATGCATTTTTTGTCTCTAAATTAGTAGGATCATACATTAGTAATGTTCTAATAGAACCATAATATCCCATCTATTTCAATGGATGAAGTCAGTAAATAAAGCAGCTCTTTTACTGTGCGAAACAATAAATTCATTATCAATATTCATGATTATATTTCACAAGTAGTTTCTATTTTTTCAGTCTAATCCATTCATTATTCATATTATTCAATTATTGTCAGCGTGTTGCAACCAATGTAAAACTCAGATGGAGTCGATTCGAGTATTGTTTCGGATGAAATAAGATAAAGTGAAAATAGGAAAAATAAACAATTTGATGTAGATTCTTGATAGTTTTTATTCAAAGATGAAATTTCAATCTATTCTATCGAAAGATAGTATTTTCGATGATGATGACGACTTAAAAGTTGTCGATGAATTTTTGAACATACTAACTGATGATAAATTTATATCAAAACAAAAAAGATTCGATATTTATATATTGTCTCGGATACAATATAGGTCATATTAATCGTGAGAGAGATCATGTATGAACTTTAGTTCTGCTTGATTCAATTACCAATTTATCAGTTAAGAAGCCAACAATTGAGGAAGCATATCAACAGCAAATATTAATGAGTTCCATTAGAACAGATCACAGTAGAGTCTAGGTCACTAGCATGAGTTATGCAATCGGTTCGACAGAGTATTGAATCCACAGATTGTACGAGGTGTTTCTACACGAGTGTGAAATATTTGAATCCTGTACAGAGTGTTGTCGTTTTATTATTCATGCGTCATGGATAAAAAGGGACGATTCATTTTTTTCAATGTTTTTTTCTACAGGAAAGAGAAAGAAGGAATTTTTTATCTAAACAATCTAGGAAAAAACCATTCTTGACATAATCATATATTTATAAAATTAGAAACTCTTAGTTATAATCATACATTTCATGACTTAAGTATGCATTCGATTTTTTACTTCTCACATAATACTTTTCTCCCTTTATTAGAACGTCTTGAATCAGTATCTCCAAAAATTCCAATGAGTTATATTACACGTAAATTTAATAGCCTTACAAATGTACAATATAATGGATCCTTCCAGAACATATGTCAACATCATGTAGGGAGTTCTGTTTCAAATAATTTATCACCAAGTAATTAGAATATTTTTTTCTTATTTTTACATTTTATATTCATCTTTCATTATAAATTTGTTAGATATGCTGACGTCATCCCATAATTTCAGTCAAATAAATAATTCATTAACTGAGCCAATAACTATTGATAGTAAGTACCACTAGAGAATTTTTTAAATCATACATTTTCATTTTTCTTATATCAGATGCCATTCTGACAGCAACGTTATCACAGGCAAACGATCAATTCTATCTCAATGAGTCAATGCCGGTTGAAGTAAGAGGTACATTCATGGCGCTTTGCTTAGGACAAGAAAGTTTATATATTTACGTACTTATTATATACTCTTTTAGATCATTCAAACCAATCGTTGACTGTAACTCCGGTTAATTGTACATCAAGTATATTTAGATTAAAAATTAATCAATTGAAAAATTAAAAAATATTTATGTTTCCTTTAGATACCAATGTTCACATAGAATCTAGAATAACAAATGATTTGATATTTACACAACAATGTATATATTTTTATATCAATGATTGATTCTCATGATTTTAATTGTATGGTTTAGATCTTCAAAGTGAAATAATAAAACCGTATCAGATTCATATAAAAGCACAACCACGTTCTAAATTTCGTCCAAGAACTCAAAATGAAAGTAAAACTACATCCCATTACTTACGATGTGAGGCTAATGCTGAACTAGAATATCCTGCAATTTATGTACGACATTGATTAATAAGATTCAAATATATTCTTCAAAAAAATAAATATTATATATATTAGGTACGTCAAGAATGGGCTCGTGAGTCAGATACAAATATTATCGAAGTTTCTCTTATGGACATAGAGAAAAAACCTCATCTCTATACTCTTGATAACAAAACTCGTATGAAGCAACCCGACGATCAATTATTAATTTTCAAACAGGAAGAAGTAAATACATTGTATTTTATAGTTACTAATCAAGATTTTATAAACGGTTATAAAAGGTAAATTTAATAAAATATAGTTTTTGTTATAAACATTTGAACTTATACATGTATATTTATTTTCATTAGCTTCATGATGGAATTAATTAAAAGTAAACAAGATGATATTATTACAAAGAAAGTAATTCGATCGCAAAAACTTGATCAATCATTACTTCGTTTCACACGAATTTATCGCGATCAACACGGTGAATATCAGCGCGATAAAAACAGTGAGGTATTTTCTTGTACTATGCAAGAAAGTAAGTGTTAAATTTATTCTTTTCAAAAAAAAACATAGAGAGATTCAATTAAAATTTATTTTATTCTTATAGGCTATGGTGATGTGTCTGTGGAAAATATGAGTCCACAGTATGGTCCAATGTGTGGACAGACGATGGTGTTTATTGTTTTCAAAGGTCGTATTACTAAAGATAATTTATCTTTTATTATTTGTGAGCCAACAACTGATTCGTCTGAGAAAATTAAAAAGTTTACCCTTAATGGTACTATTGTTTATTTCCCGATGCCTTCTGCTCCGTTTCCATCTATGAATAATATAAAAATAAGCATCCAGATTTACTTTAAAAACGAAAGAATTCGTGAATTAGATTATGTATATATGAATCTCTCAGACCGTATGTATATCTTGTTCTTATTTAAATCAATGTTTTTCTATACGTTTTTCTATTATCCAGAAGTCACTAATGTTGATTGTACTCAATCAATGTCAGATATTGGTAATTTTACGACAACCATAACGCTCACCCAAGATGGTGCCACCAATATACAGTGTATGCCAAAACTAGCTAAAAACCTCTCGAAAAGAAAACCAAAGAAACGTTTAAATAGCAAAAACGACTAAATAAATATATTTTGCAAAGATATTCATTCTAAACAACTTTAAACAGCCGTTGACTTTTTTTCGTGTTGCTTTTTAATTTTATTGTTTTGTTTTTAATTTTATATTAGTTATATAAAAGAATAAAGAGATATCTTTATTACATCAAATGTTGTTATCAATTTGTTAGCTTATGCCAGAGTCTGAGTTTCATATTTTCATCAAGATGAAGTTGATCCCTTATGTACTTCTAAAGTTTAATTTTGTCCATTTCGACAAAAGCAGTCTGAATAAAACACTGCTGGTAATTGTTTCAAATCAGAATGAATTCATCTATTTTATCTCATAGTGTTAGATATCTTTTCAATTTCAATTAAGAAACAGCAATAATCTTATTATATGGACAAGAAATTCATGGATAATGGAAAAGAATAAAACGCTTTTTCAATTTTGATTCTTTACAAGAGAGTGAATTCAATATAACCTAGAAACAAAATAGTAATATTTATGTTAGAAACAATATGAATATGTTTATAAATTTTCTAGTTGGCCTAGCATGATTTCGAAGCTTATAATTGTCGCGGTAAGATAAAAGCTTTCAGTGCAAAAAGAAAACGACATTTGTTGTGAGTATCATTGATCAATCACAAGTACTTTTTCATTGTAACAGTACTAAAAAAAAGTTATTTTTTTGTGATCATAAACAAAGTTATGAGAACTTTATATAAAACATGGGCTCTATTCCTGAAATAGTATTTTAATCAAGGTATATATAAACTTTAGCCAACAGATTATTAACATTTTTCTGTTTTTTCGAGAGACGTATCATATTTCTAATAAACTGAAAAACTCATAAATTTAGATTTGCATCCATTTTCCTCATCATTCATTCCAAATAGAGCCATCATAAAACCATGAGCTTAATTTATTTCAGGAGTTCTTTCCCTAAGATCTGTTACATTCATTGCTCATGTGCAATAACTATAAAACTAATAGTGTAATGAATATTTCTATTAAATAGCAGTGTTGTTTCATTAACAAGAGTGAATTACTTATGTTAAGATGTTAGCTCTTCGTATTATCGAGTGTTAGGCGCAAGCCAATGCAACTTCATACTAACAATTTTCCATCAACCATTCAATTACTATCGCGAATAAAACTAGTTTCTTTCTAGACAGTAGTAAAGTGGTTACGAAAATAATAATAAATATTCTTGTTAAACAAATAGTTTATTTTTATTTCAATTAAAACACATGTTTTTTATTATTATAATGATTCTATTAAGAATAAATTGCTCAATGTGATACAGTAAGATTTTCAATTGTTTTTCCTGCTCATTTCAATAAGTTACCATTGAATTTTGAATATGGACACTTCATTAGTATACACTATTTGAAATTATGACACAGCTATATTGTTTTTTCTTTGACAAACAACCATAATTTTCACATAAAAAAAGTTGATTTTCTATCGTGCCTATGAATATGTTTTGAAAGTCATTGCGATCAAAATATATTAATTCTATTAATCTAGAGATTCATTTAATTAGAATTTGAATTCACAATAAAAAGATTTGTTTTTTACTTTTTGCTAAAGCCCACATCAGTGTTGGAAGGAAAGTGTTTTCAAATTATTCATACTATAGAAGGTAAGATAAGATATTCACCTGTTATTTTTTCTATCAACGAATGCTGTAGACTTTATCAATATTGAATTAGTAATTATTTTATCAACAAAGGCTAACTAGATTTTCACTGAAGTTGTGTTACTAGAAAAACATCGTATTCTGCAGTGAATCATCGAGCATAGAATTAATTGAAATTTATCAAAATACTGGAAATGTCCGTTTCGTTATCGGACGATTTTTTTTTCTTTAGTATATTTACTATTTTAAACTCACATATTAGACTTTCGCATGAAGTTTTTAACGTTTTTTTCCATTTTTCATACGTAGAATCCTCACACTTGACCTTCTGATACATGCGATTACCGTCACGAGGACACAAATATTCTCATAACAAAAATAGTAACATACCATTTCTACTGATCCTCATCGGTGCTATCTCGCACTCTGTCATACCCAACTCATCAAGCTCGATTTTTTATTCAGTAGCATGGTTTCTTAAGAGATACTTCTACCAAGACACTATGGGCTATTTACTTTTGTGAAACTTAAGCATAGCTATGTTTGCAATTCATACACAACATGTAGTAAATATAAGATCACTGTGAAAAAATGATCCATCTGGTTTTCAGTTGGCAACTATGAAAATAGTATTTCTAAATAAATGTTTTTATTAGAACAATCTAGCTTGTAGAAAGATGATCAATGGAAAAGCTTTTCTTGTATGTTGTTCAACTTGGCTGTTCGATTGGTATGTATTGAAAACGCCGAAAGAAAAAAATGCCGAAAGAAAAAACGCCGAAAAAAATACCGAAAAAAATAAATGTCGAAGGAAAAAATGTTGAATAAAAAACATCGAAATAAAAGAAGATCGAATGAAAAAAATGTCAAATCAATGAAAAATTATATTAGATGTAAAATATTAAATATTTATTCTATTTCATTGAAAAAAAGGGACAATATGTTCATTGATCAGGACAAATGGTTATACAAAAATGAATCATTCGATAGGCCCAGATAGGGATGTGCAGTTTCAGTTTACTGATAACTGAGATCAACGAGATATTGCGCACGGGCTACACAACACTAACTGGAACTCAACTGACACCCAAGCAGACAAACTTTTTCAAAAACGCGTTTAAACACTCAATCGGGAACCGCGATTGTGGGTCATTAACGCTCATTAATGAAACGCAAGAAACGCGNGTTCGGAAAGTGAGAATTCTGCGTAAAAAACGCGTTTCTTGCGTTTCATTAATGAGCGTTAATGACCCACAATCGCGGTTCCCGATTGAGTGTTTAAACGCGTTTTGAAAAAGTTTGTCTGCTTGGGCACCGAGCAACACTGATGTGCTGTAGTTGCGCTGTAGTTACGCATTTACATATTCTTCATGAACAGGTGACTTAGTGATGTTCTGTGTCGGTTGAGTTCCAGTGCCAGTGCAGTACAGCCAGTACTCAGTGCTCAGTATCTCGGTAATCTCAGTTATCAGTAAACTGAAACTGCACATTTCTAGGTCCAGACGTATACGTGATTAATATAAAGTTCAAGTTGTTGTCGCGATGAGCAATGATAAATCATCCAAAAATTGCTCAATGTCGACGTCGTTGTTGTTGTAACGTGCCACAAGAGTATCGATACGTTTTTGAATACAATTAGTAAAACTTGAACTTGATCGACGTTTAGCACCTATACGGAACCCATTCATCAGATGCATTGCTAGTGAAGAAAGCCGATTTCAACACTTATATGTGCAAATCAGTTCAGGTGCTAAACGTCGACCAATTTCAATTTGTACTAATGATATTTAAAAAACGTATTGATAATCGTACGGGATTTTACAACAACAACGATGTTGATGTTGAGCAATTGTTCGATAACTTATCAATGTTCATCGCGAAAAAAGCATAAACTTTATTCTAAGGGCGTACATATGGACATACCAAATGATTCATTTGTGTATAACCATTTGTCCTGATCAATGAACGTATTGTTCTTTTTTTTTCAATGAAATAGAATAAATATTTAATATTTTACATCTAATATAATTTTTCATTGATTCGACGTTTTTTTTATTCGATCTTTTTTTATTTCGATGTTTTTTGTTCAACATTTTTTCCTTCGACATTTATTTTTTTCGGTATTTTTTCGACGTTTTTTCTTTCGATACTTTTTTCTTTCGGCGTTTTCATAGTAAATCGTTCGATTTCTCCTGAAAATGTGACTCACTCGTTAACTATTAAATGTTGACATGATGAATGGAAAACTCTGACAATATTTGTAGTCGTATAAAAAGATGTAGGATTTAATATATGATCAAACGATCGTATTATATCGATTAATCTGTGCGTGAATTAGTTTTACTGATGAAAATAAAAACGAAGAAAAAGTTTATTTTTGTGACTCTCCGTCCATGTAATCAGTATGACATTAGTATATATAATATATATCGCGATAAGCGTCGTGCGTCTTTTTTTAAATAAAGTGAGAAACAAATTTTACTTCAAAAATCAGCAATGATTAAGTACATAATGAAATAAAAAGTAGAGCCGAGAAAAGCGAAAACGTCTTTTTCTCTTGAGTATCATGGTACGACTGACATAATCTGCATGCTAGCAGTCAAATGAAATATTTATAGATAGATAAATTGATCAAAGTTCACAGATAAAAAATATTATTATTATGAAATAAAAAATCTATTAAAAATTGAGAACTCCAACCATGCATCGCAGTGCCCTGATAAATCCCGAGGAGAACGTCCTTCGCAAATAATTTTTTCGCTGGAATCCTGACAAGCGCTGCGATGTATGAATTTCTAACGATAGATATTTGAGAGAATCAAATTCATTGACTCACATACTATTACTTTTGCACTTGGCCTTGAATATCATGGGATTTATCCGAGAGCGCACGAAAATATTGACATTGACAGTAATCGATGAAATATAACATAGTACATTTCTTCGACCCCAAAAAAAAAGCAAAAGCATTGATTTTATATGTGACTCAATGATAACTGTCGTATGGTTCATGACTAACGGTGAATCACTAGAATAACACGTTGGCAAAGTTATTGCACAACGTAAAAGCATCGCTATATAATTCTGCTTTTTCTTCTAGTAGTCTAAATTAAATCAGATCGGATACGTATTTCTTTCACAAGGAGAATATTGAGTCACAATTGCGCAATAGCATTCAAGTGTAATATACCCACGTCACCATTACACTTTCTATGGTATAAAAATCTAAGCAACAGCTCAATACACAGCGAATTTTGAAAAATGTTATCAACTGCGGGTCACCATCTTTCACATCGGTTCCTTAAATCAACAGCAATCTCTACTTTAAAGTTTCATTCATTGTCTATATCTACAGAATCCTCTTCATTTACATGGCAACAACCAACTGAAGACGATCAAAAACAATACGCAGCTGACGATGTTTTCCGTGCAGGAATGCGACATCATCATATATGTAATACAGCATTTCCAATCGCTCACAACACTACTATTCGACCTTATCGAGTAAAAAGGCTTCGAGATCAACAAGATATTCAAGCAGTCTATTATGGAGCTTACGGTTCATTACCAGAGATGATGCTCTATGCTCATGTGCCTTTTTGTCAAACACGCTGTCAATTTTGTGAATATACAGTTGTCAATCCAAAACAAGGCAAAAATGTTGATATACAAACAAATTATTTCTCTGCACTATACACCGAATTAGATATGTATGCAAATTTATTAAATACAAAAGCAAAAAAACTAGTCGGATTTGATATTGGTGGTGGAACACCATCTATGGCTAAAATAGAACATATTCAAAAATTAATGAAACATGTTGAATCGAAATTTCAAACTAATTGGAATCTAACTGAAGTATCCATTGAGACAACACCAAAGATAGCTGCAGCCGAACCTGAAAAAATGAAAGCATATTACGATATGGGTATTCGTCGTATATCAATGGGTTTACAAACAACAGATTTTCGTCAAGCAAAAGACATGAATCGTGATGATGCTAATGCATCGACAGATTATATCTATCAAGCAGTGACAAATATTCGTAATGCAGGTTTTAAAAGTTTTAACATTGATTTAATGTATGGATTTCCATTACGTGCATCACGTACCGATGACCCATGGTTAAAAACTGTTCAAGATACAATTGATCTTCAACCTGAACATATAACTTTATATCGTATGAGATATAAAGGTACATTGATGGCACATTTAGCTGATCGTGTTAAACTCGATCAAATTAATCGTCAAGAAGGTCAATCAAGACAATTATTAAATCAATCTAATTACATTGGATTAACAGGAAAAAATACATTTTCTCGTGTTCAAGGTAATTCTGGATGTTCTGATTATTTGGATAAACGTGTTAGAAAAGCTATACCCTATATCGGTATTGGTCTTGGTGCCCAATCATTCAGTCACCATACATTATCGTATAATTTAGGTGCTGTTACTAAGAAATTACAACAATATATTCGTAGTGTCGAATTAAATCGTATTCCAGTTCAAGATCTTTATCATCTATCACGAGAAGCAGCTATTGCTAAAATGGCATCAGTTAGTTTCTACTATGGTGGTATTGATCTTATTGCATTTGAAGATTGTTTTAAGACGTCGTTACAAGAATTATTTCCTACTGAATTTAAATTCGTTACAGATCATGGCTTAATGATATACAATCAAGACGAACAACGCTTACAAATGACAAGTCTTGGTAAACAATGTTTCGGTGGTGTTGTAGCTCTGTTTTATTCACCAGCCGTGAAAAATCATATTTTACATTTACAAGGTGGAGAACAATTTCTAGTAGATCCTGTTCAAGCATTAAAAGAAGGTCAAAGTCCATTTCAACCAATCCCAGATACAACAATACCAGTTCGTCGTCGAGCAGCAGCAACAAATGTACCAGAGCCTAAACCGCCAGCGTCATTAACAACTTCGACGCTTACTTTACAACAAAGTCAACAGTCGCTGAATCAAATTCGTCGTTCATTTTCATCATTAGCGCGTGTTGATACATCCAAACCATTTGAATTTGGCAATATTTTATTTTCTGGATCATGTAATCAAAAGTGTCCATTTTGTATTGGACATCAATTATTAGAAACTCCAAATAATTTACGTAAAGAAACACTTGAAAATCTGGATGAATTTATTTCTTTGATGAAAAAAACTCAAACATCAAAAATAATTTTAACAGGTACAAGAACTGATCCTCAACTTTATAAATATGAAGAGAAATTAGTAAACCGTTTACGTCAAGATTTGCCAAATGTTCATATATCATTACATACAAATGGTTTATTAGCAATACCAAAAATGAAAACATTTCGTATGTACGATTCATGTACTATATCTGTAAATTCTTTTCATCCTACAACTTATTACAAACTTCATGGTGTTAAGCAAATGCCAAATTTAAAAGCTATTTTAAGAGAAGCATCCAATGTTCCAATTAAACTTTCATGTGTATTAACCGAAGACAATGTTTATCAAATTGAAGAATATTTACAGATTGCTAAACAACTTGGAATCCGACGAATTGCATTACGACATATCTATGGTGATGATCGACGTTGGCCTATTCAAGCGTTTCAAAATAAACAACCGGTTAAGTATCATCAAAATAATCCTGTTTATGATTTTGATGGTCTTCAAGTAACCCATTGGATATTTGATAAAACATCGGGTCGATCTTTGAATTTATTCTCTGATGGTACACTTAGTGATGAATATCTGTTAACAAATTCTCCAAATCAATCAATAGTTGAACATATTAACTCTTAAAGAAACAACTTTTTTTTCTGTAAATAATAATAGCATTCATTACTTAAAAGTTTGCTTTCGTAAACAAAAAGTTTATGTATATGCACGTGCATTCGATAATGATTGTACTTGTAATTATAATAATATATTATTATTGCACGATAATAAAAAAAAAGAAAAATACCAATTACTCGAGCATGAATCTATTGAAATAGCCATATTTTTGTTTATATGATTAACTTTGTTTGTTTGTTTATTTGTTTGTCTCTTCTCAGTTAATGGAAATAGACAAACGAAAAATTGAAACTTGAACTTGTTTCAATTTTGATCATCAAGCGATAAGAATCTATGTTCATCGAGTTTCTCATTTAGGTTTTTTCGTTTCTTCATTTTCCTCGATGGAGAGAATATTCTTTGGCTGCAGTAACTAAAATTATTTCGTCTAATACAGATGAAACATGATCACTGAAATTTCATTGCAATTGATACAGAGAATATTTAAAAAATAAATAAATAATATTCAATGAAATGTTTTAATGTTTTTTATTCAAAGTATTGTAGTTTATTTTAATTTTTATTCATTATTCAATAGAGTAGTAGGATAGAAACGAAAACATTTCTTCGCCGATTTGACGGCGATGATTTTAAAGGCTACTCATTGAATAGAATTGATCTTTCGATTGCTGATATGATACTATATTGTTACCTATGTATCGCAAAATACTTTGTATCTACTTTTACTTCTCAGCTTCAGTGCATTCGGATAGAACAGTTTCGCCTTTAATCAGTAAAATAAGATACAATGATGCAACTGAGCATCTATACATTATATTAAAAAGATACATATGTAGTTAAATTAATGAATAGTTATCTTCGATAGAATACATACATATTTTTTCAGTAGACATACTATCTCTTGAATATATATATTATTCATTTACAAATAATATGACAGACCAACCATTCGTGCTTTTCAATTATTTTATTAAAAATTGGTGTCAAGCTAAAGAATTTCTTATCAGATTGAATTGTATACTTGTACAAAAAAGAATATATATGTAACAGAAGAATTATCTTTATCTTTTAATCAATATACAACACTAGGTGTCCTTTCTTTTGTTACTTAATACGTATTGTAATGCTAAACCAGAACTGAACTTATTTTTATGATGAACAAACAACGATTATTTTATTTGGAAGTAAAAATCATTTGTCGAATTGTTTATTCTGATTAGTTGACATTGAAAAATAAAAATTTGACTCAAATATTCTTTTCATATTGATTATAGATCTTAATTCAAATCAGTACTATGATATTAAAATAGTTATCAAGATCAATAATGAAATCTAATAATAAACTCATAACCATCTGTTCCATGCAGAAGAGCTATGAACGATGCTTACTACACAAAGAAACCTATAAAATAAAACATATAGAAGAACGGGCTACAACAAATAACATCTCCAGATGGCTCCTAAATTATATCTTTCTTCTCAATATAGCAAAGCTATTTTCATATTTTCATTAGCTATTCCTATTTTTCTTATCTATACGTTGGTTTGCGATCTCTCTTCATGTTGTTGGAATACTAAGATACAATCATGTTATTTGCATGAAAACTATGAATGAATACAAAAGAAAAACTCTTTTCGATATAATAATTTAAATATGATGAAGTTTATTTAAAAAAAATTTAATCGCTAGCAGGCGAGAATAATAAGTGCACACCTATCGTTATAAAAAGAGTTCGCTTAATATTGCATAATTGGATTGTTTTTCTTTGATGAATTAACCAACTTTAGGTTCTTCAACAACAATATCATTATCATCAACAAATAAAATTACACGTGACTCATCATGTTCAGTTGTTGACGAAGTGCCTTTTTTCAAGATTTTTACATTCGAGAAGCCTTAATTGAAAAACCACGAATAGATAATGAATTTTCTTTGAAAATATCTCTAAATCATACCTTTTGCTTTAATCAATTCTTCTGCTTCTTGACGTGTTTTACCTTTTAAATCTGGCCATGATGTTGCTAATACTTTTGCATCACTCTAAAAACAAAAAAAACGAATTCCTCTTCTCAAATCTTTTATTTTATTCTTTTGAAAGTTTAAACATACTTCTTGTGGCTTATCTTCATAGGCGCGAGATATTTTTATATCACTTTTTTGAGCGTTTGCATGCTTTTCTTTATTCCCATCCTAAGGAGAAAAATAAACAACGCATGAAAAATTGAATAACAGCAAAAAAAATGCACAACGTACATTGTCCGTTGTAGTTTCAGCAGTATGAAAAACTTCAGCTACACTATGTGCAGCTTGTTGTACTAGTTTTCCTGCTTCGTTTAAAGTATGTTTAATTGGTTCCATTCTTTCTGTTAATCTGCAACAAAGTCAACTTAATTTATTTTGCATAGAAATATTTTCAAAATTCAAAAGATTTTTTCGATTCATTCTATTATACAAACATATTAGAAAACAACAACAAAAAACAATGAAAGACACGCACACACTCGCACAGTTACAATAGTTCATCTTCTTTTCGCAATAGACTTTCCTGAGAAATGCGAGAAAAGAAAACAAGTCTAATCTAATATCGATGATAATTCATCAATGGATGCGTATGCCATGTCCATTTAGCTTTTTGAACTAAAATATCATTACGAAGATTTTGTGCAAAGCAAATGTTAACAATCTGTAAAGAAAATAAAAATTAATAGAGAAATAAAACAAAAACATATTTACTCACTTGTAATACAGCTAAAATAACGATAATTATAGCGACAGATACAATATTTCTTTCGAACCATTGTGATGCTTTCGGTAGACATCCTTCTGTATAAATCATATGTGTTCCCTATAAAATAAAAAGTTTATTCTTTAACAGATGAAAAAGAGAAACTTACTGCCAAAGGTTCTAATGTTCCATATCCACAATGTTTATTGTTCTGAAATACATTAAATAAAATAAGATAGATGTTTTTCAAGAGAAAAATATTTCTCACATGAAAATATTCTGTACGACAACAACTAGCTGGTACACCACATGCTTCAATGCTTCCAACAGATTTTGATGAACAATTAAAGTAAATATTACTTTCCCAATTTCGATAATGATTTACACCACAACAATGAAGCCAACTACGTTGAATCCAATCAATCATATTGTTTAAATCTGGATCATCACGATAACTTTGAATCATAATCATTAGTTGTTTTTCACCTTCACGTTTAACCTGTACATATAATTTATTTAAATTATTAAAATAGAAACAACTATAAAAACCTTTTCTCGATAAATAAATACCATTGTACCAAACGCCAGTTGTGAAAAAAAGATAACTGCCAAAGAGAAACTGAACTACAAAAAAAATTCAGAAGAAAAATAAATTCTTCTTTTTTTCGTAAGTACAAAATTCTTTACATACAAAAAGGAGTAGACAAGTATTTTCTCTTAGTGATCCAACACAACCAGCAAATCCAATGAAGCACATGAAAACTCCAACAAGTACAAAGAATAATGCTGGATCAAATAATAATGTTCCACCCGTTGTTAAACGACCAAAATTATCAAATGCATCTTTCTCAATCCAAGCATATATACCGATGACAGTAATCATCAAGCCAAGAATCTTTCAATAGAAAACGAATAAATAAACAAGCACAATCAAGATTCTTATACTATATTTACCCAAAACAGAATATTAAAACCAAATATAAGATACCTGAAAAGATAAAGTATATTAATATTTTTATTTTATTTTAGATTTAATACTATACTTAATCCATGGGCTAACCTCGGATCCATCGCGGCGTGTTTTACGCACAATCCGATGAAAACGAGGTGCCATAGGAAAGAGTGTATCTGAATCGCCAGTTGTTGCTAAACTTGTCAACCGTCTCGACGATTGAATACGATTTATTGGATTACATCGTTGTGTTTCATCTGGAATGATATGATTAATCTATTATTGAACTGATCCAAGGAGAAGAAGCATATTCGATGTGTTCAATTACCCATCAATAATGTTCTTCCAATGAGATTTACATGCTATTTTCATCACGTGATAGATGTCATTGGTGTATCAGATAAATGAATACTTATACAATACGGTGTCAAAATTTCAACTAGGTCTCAATTTATTGTATTGTTTTTGTTTGAAAACAAATAAATCACGATAATGATTATTTATGATTAAAACTATGATTCGACTCGAAACATCAATAGATATTTTCGATATTTTTTCTTGTCATAAAAATTATACAATCACCGATCATTTCTGTTGGGCGCCTGATCACAATCATCAAAAAAAAAATGAAGAATTTCGTAAATATCATGCTCAATCATGTGTCAAAAGATGAGATAAAATATGGAAGAGCATATAGAAAAATATTCAGATATCTTCACAAGCTAATTGGTCCTAAATTTAAAACTATGTAACAAGTTGTACAGACAAGAGGGGAGAGTACGATAATAATTCAATAGTTTTCTTAATGTCTATCAGAAAATGTAATAGTTATATAAAATTTAAAAAAATTGTTTTAATTGATTCTGAGAGAAACATCATTATCTTCGCTATTTAATAACTATTAACAAGCCATAACTATATTGTGATAGCATATCGACAAATTACTCTGTATGATATTGAAGACAAATTAGGAATGAGTTTTTTTCTTAAAACCAAAAACCAAATAAACAGAAGTTGTTATGAAAGAAGATACTAAAGTAAAAATGATTTAAAACAATGGTTTTAATCTCAGAATAAAAAATATTATCTATGAGTATATTGACGAATTATAGCTTAGTTATTTGACATTTTAAGCTTCTATATATATATGGGTAATTCCACCAGAAATCAACCGCGCGTACAAAACAGGAAACCGATTCGCCTGAAACTTTCAGGGTCTGTAGAGCTTTTAATTCTAAGAACTTTGATAAAAAAATTCGCCAAAAAGTTTTAAACTGGCGGAGATATGTCCAAAATACTAAAACCAGTGAAACATGAAAAAACCAAAAAAAACTTTTTCAAAAAACTTTTACGTCTAATTTTTTACAGATTTTTACACTAAAGCAAGGTCAAAAATGAAAACCAAAACCACATTCAGATTCCCCATGAAAAGGCACATCGAACCATGCTTATTATAGAGCCAGTAGTCAACATGAAAATGTCTGAAATATCCTGTGAATGAAAAGCACCGATACAAAAAAAGTGCCATTTTCAGCATTTTTGTTTTCGCAATTACTTTAAAATGACGGTTTTCTGATGATGGTGGCACATCACATTTGATAGAGCCTCACATGCTCTACAATCCTGATGATGCAGAATATTCCGCGTTTCAAAAGCACACGAAATATTTGATGAATATTACAAAATGCTGCTTTTAACATGTTCTACCAATGAGTAAATTCATCGAAGTTCTGCAGAAGTTACTCGATTAAAGTTTATGAAGTGCGTTCGAACTAATGCATCTGGTAGAGAAAATATTTTTACGTCTTCTGATTGGAATCGCTTTGAGAAATATTACTCAGTTCGTGAGATATCGACATTTTTTTAAGGGCACTACCGACTGGCCCTATATAAGAAAGACATTCACATCACACGAAAGGAAAGTTATTTCGTCATAAAATTTTCACCGTAGATGTATATCAACTTGGTGTAGTTGTGATAAACAAAATCAGTTCAATCGAGTGAGCTGGAGAGAAATTCTTCAGTACTACCATATTTTTTTCAAAAATAGTCTTTTTGCGATATTTGATGCACTGGTATATCTAATAAAAGAATACATTTAGGTATCGAAAATTATCTCAATTGTGAGAACATAGATGATACTAAATGCACAAAAGATTTCAGTTCTTCACGAGTTTTCTATAGCTCAGCAGAGCCGACTGAAAATCATCATTTTGCTACTAACGTTCTGGTGATTGTCAAATTAGTGATTTTTGGAGCTCTCGATCTGTCAGCTAATGTAACTTATGAGAATTCCAGTTATATAGTATAAATGAATGGAAAAGTACTACAACATTGCATATGAATAGAGTATGAGCGTTGTGAATTGGACTCGTCCGATTGATGGAGATTAATATAATCGCTCAGTTTCAGAGAATAGCTACGAAACTTTATTGACGAATTCGGGGGAAAATC